GATAGATAGATAGATAGATAGATAGATAGATAGATAGATAGATAGATGATAGTGTTTTAGCTGTAAAACATCACATATAATTTGGCACGTCGGCTAAGAGAAACAGGAAGTGGGTTTCGTGCAAAACTCTGCGTGCAATTCTGCCACTCGGTTGCCGAATTGCTCATAGGCTCATGGTCTAAAGATAGGTTTAAATGTGGGTTTTTGCAGCTGTGGGAAGAGGGGAAACTGCAGGAAATGTCTACCCACATCAGCCCCGGCCTGTTTTTGTGGGTCTCTTGCAACACAACATAATGGACTGCCATTTGTCAGAAATGGTGTAGGGTCTCCCGCTTGGGCGGGGGGTTGGACTAGATGACCTGCAAGGTCCCTTCCAACTCTGGTTATCTGTTAATGCATCTAGATAAAGGTAAAGGTTCCCCTTGCACATCCGTGCTAGTCGTTTCTGGCTCTAGGGGGCGCTGCTCATCTCCGTGACAAAGCCAAAGAGCCAGCGCTGTCCAAAGACGCCTCCGTGGTCTCATGTGGCCGGCAGGACTAAACGCCGAAGGCGCGCGGAACGCTGTTACCTTCCCACCAAAGGGGTCCCTATTTTCCTACTTGCATTTTTTTTACATGCAGAAGTTGGGACGAGTATCGGGAGCTCACTCCATGACGCAATGCTAGGGATTTGAACCGCCGAACTGCCGACCTTTCTGATGAACAAGCTCAGCCACTGAGTCCCACCACCTTTGAAAAGCCACAAATGGACAACCTGGATTCTATGGCCAATCCACGTTTCCTCCTGGAACAAGGGATCAAGCCCTGGAGCTCCACTGCCAGAAGGAACATCCGTGTCTAGACTAAAAGCTGAATTGGATTGTATCTCTTTGGCCTTGGAAAGGAAGTTAAAATCAAAAACATTTCTCCCCCCTCCATTCTTTTTCTAGTTGTGCCTTTAATCAGTTTGTCTCGCCTTCAATTAGACGAAAGAAGGAGACCCTGAAGAATGTCTTGACCATCCTAGACTCTCAAAGTGTCGTCCTGTAACTAGGTTAGTTAGGCCTTTAACTAGGTTACTCCTGTAGCCTAGGGATGTGGTGGCTCAGTGGCTAAGATGCTGAGCTTGTCGGATCAGAAAGGTCAGCAGTTCGGCGGTTTGAATCCCTAGCGCCACGTCATGGCGTGAGCTCCCGTTACTCGTCCCAACTTCTGCCCACCTAGCAGTTCGAAAGCACGTGAAAAGTGCAAGTAGAAAAATAGGGACCCCTTTGGTGGGAAGGTAATGGCGTTCCATGCGCCTTCAAAGGCGTTTAGTCGTGTCGGACGCATGACCATGGAGACGTCTTCGGACAGCGCTGGCTCTGTGGCTTTGTCACGGAGATGAGCAGCGCCCCCTAGAGCCGGAAATGACTAGCACGGATGTGCAAGGAGGGGAACCTTTATCTTTTAACCTAGGCCTGTTGACACATGGAGATAGCGTGCTTTTCACTGTAATTGTAGCCCAGCCTGAAGTTAACGGTTGACTGAAATCCCCATACAGGGAGTCCTTGACTTACAACCACCATTGAGCCCCAGATTAATGTTCTTAACCGAGACATTTATCAAAAGTGAAGTTTGCTCCATTCTGCCTCCTTTCTTGCCCCCGTTGCTAAGTGAATCACTGCAGTTATGGTTGTTAAGCGAATCCGGCTTCCCCGTTGACTTTCCTCGTCGGAAGGTTGCCATAGGAGATCGCATAACCCACCCCGGGGGGAACGCTGCGACCGTCGTAAATGTGAACCAGTGTCCCAATTTTGATCAGGTGACCTCAGGGAGGCTGGAACGGTCATGAGAGTGAAAAACGGCCCTAGTTGCTTCTTTCTGTGCCGTTGTGAACGGTCACTGAACGGACTATCGTAAGTCAAGGACTACCTGTATGTGTGTGTGTGTGTGTGTGTGTTGTAACCTGCCTGGAGATGCTTCCCTTTCAACCTGGCCCCCCTAAGAAAACCAAACCAACTTTCATCCCCAACTCTCCATTCTTCCTCTCTTCCCGGGCTGGCGGCATGGATCCTGGGATGAGCCTAGGACAAAGAGTGCCTTATTATATTTGTGTACACATACATGGGAGTGAACTTTTTCCACTTCACTGACCTGGCATGTTCTTGGTTATGCAACCTTTCCCGAGCGAGTTAACGCTTCCCTTGCCAGGCTGATGATAATCCTGGTTTTTTCCCAGGACGATCAGGGTTTCCTGGAAAACGAGGTCAAGGTTAGGATGGGGAAATGAATAGAGAGTAAAGTAGAGTCGAATTAGAATAGTATTAGAATAGGGTAGGATAGGACAGAACAAGAACAGAACAGAATAGAATAGGGGAACAGAATAAAACTAGGATAGGACAAGAACAAAACAGGAATGGAATGGAACAGAATAGAACTAAAATAGAATAAAACAAGGATAGGACAGGACAAGAACAGAACAGAGGGATGGAACAGAATAGAACAGAACAGAACAAGGCTAGGATAGGACAAAACAAGAACAAAATAGAATAGAGGAACAGAATAAAACTAGAATAGAACAAGGATAGGATAAAACACAACAAAAACAGTAGAATACAACAAGGATAAGACAGGAACAGAACAGAACAAAGGAACGGAACAGAATAGAATTAGAATAGAA